CATGCTTATTTTACAAGCCAGGACAAGTATTTATACCAAGAACTAAAAAGTTTTTGCATTGTGTTCCTATGATTCCAACAAGTAAGACGTAATAAAAAAATGTTAGTTCTTCTGGGTTTCTACGTGTAGAGGTTTTTTTATTGATCTTTGCAAGCAACGTGCCCAGGTTCGTTTTGCAGAACTTGCCCATTGACTGTAGAGGGCGATACAGTACTTGCAAATTACTCGTGGATTCTTTTTTATTTGATTTCCGTATCTCATATTTGGAGGGAAAGCTTGTTTAGAAATTCAATTCTATTAAAACTGTATGAACTAAGTTACCTTTCTGCTTGTGTGTGGAGTGAAGTAGCTGCTCAAGAAAGGGCAAGTGCTTTGTCTTTTCAATTTTTTTCAGCAAAGAAAGAAAACTGGGGGCACCTATACTGCAGTTGCTTAAGTTAGGACACATGTAAAATGTGCAAGGGCTCAAGACAAGTAACTGATCAGTGCAGAAGGATGTTTCACCAAGGTGCTATGATGGCCTTTTGTTGATAGAGAAAAGTAGGAAATGGATATGTGCAATACTGCAGCATAATCATACTCTGATCATTGTCAGTAGCATGGGTTAATTAGCAGAACATTAACTAAAGTATTAACGTTTTCCCTTTCCAAATGAGGTTTGTATTGTCTCTGCCGTGGCCAGGTAGCCATTGTTTCTTGTCCGGTGGAATTTTTTTTTTTAACTGAACTCCTACCTGTTACTGGCTTTGAAATGGAGATCCAAAAAAATGTTGCACATAGAACTGAACAGCTGTTGTATTTCTATACAGGTCCATTTGTGAATTTTGAACATGTGAATTTCCTATTCCTGGGAAGGGAATAAAATCTAACATGAAAAAAAGCTTCCCTTTTCAGCTGATAATCCTTCTCTGCTCTATTGATTTCTTTGCAAACAAGTATTGAATTGGAAGCCCAGATTCAGGTCCCACGTGTGTCTTCCTAGAAGAATGCCTTCATCTCTAGACTAGTAAGTAGCACCTGTAACTAATGAGGTGAAGCTGGTCTCTCCTGTGTAGCAGGCAAGGCAAATTTAACTTAATCCCAGCCTATATAATAGGAAGCAGCTGCTGTTGCTTTCTGCTCAGAGCTTGTGCCATCGAGTAGTTGCAGGTGTGCTGGCAGCTCTCCTAAGAGGAGGGCATAATTAGTAGCTTATTGTTGGATTTCCTATAGGTTTCAAACTGCATGCTGTGGTCAAGACTCAAGTTCTGAGGATCTCAAGATGATCTTCAGCTTTTCCTTTACACTGTGTTTATGGATTAAACCCTTATGTTTTTTCTGACTGCTTCTAAATGACTTCAAGAGGAAAGGTACTTGAAAAGTACGGATTTTTGTCTTACTACTTTTGTTAATTCTTGTTAAAAGTCTATTAACTACATAAGTACTTTTTAATCTCTTTTTCATAGTTTTCCATTGAGTCAAAGTTCTTCTTTGTCTGTCACTTCTGATAGTAATTTCCTGCTAAATATCTAAGGAAATTCTTGGATATATAAAAGTAAATATTATTCCCTGAATCTTAACTGTTTGTGGTGGAGAGAGGAAGAGATGCGCATACAAGTTCTCCTTAAAGTATGGCAGACTTTTTTCTGTTGGTTCCGAAGTTTTCACAGAGTCATTACTGCAGACATGCATCTTTCTTCTCTCATAGGGAGATTGATTCTTTCATTTTCTTTGGGTTTTATGCTGAAGTCCAACTGTATTCCTCAGGTGGTCATAGACATTACATTAGCACTGGCAGTCTGAGTTGCTTTTCTATATGAGAGCTTTTCAATATTATTGGAAAGCTGAGAGACCATCATCCTTCTGCGTGGGACTGATAGGAAATGCATTTGGTGCTCTGAAGGAAATAATAATGATTTTTGGAGATCTAGTGCTGGCTTTTGCTCTTATTGAAGTCAGCAGGAGCTTTGCTGTTGACTTCTGTGAAAGTGAGATTAGGTCCTTTGTCATTTCATTTTCATGTTTCAACACAGGCGAGGATATATGCTGGGAGACAAACTGGTTTTAATTCTGACTTAGAGTGGAGAGTTCCTGTAGTTAATGCAGAGTGTGACTTTGCATCCTGATGTGTGAATTCTGTATTTTACATTCCCTGAGTTCAGAAAATCACCATGAATTAGAGGTGGTGGTGCAATGGCAGCAGCATTGGCATGGACCAGTAAAGTTTCAAGGGGGAAAAAATTTTTTGTCACCTGCTAATCTGAGTTCTAAAAATTTGTTGTAAAGTAAGCTTTTGTTCAAACTATGTTGTTACAGCGACATGGTGAGGATTTTTGTTAGGAGAAGCGCAGGAAATTGAGGCTGATAGTTTTTTAGACTCTGGAATGTCATGTCTTTAGGTATGTGATTTCTGTTATTGAAGGTGATGGTATTTCTCTGGCATTGGTCACTGTGTAACTGGCTAAAAATTGCATGGGACAGCAGGATTAGTGCTTCATGAGTGGTATATCTCCAATTTATAATAATTTTCATTGATGTTGATTCCTTACCTGTTGGGACTATCAAAGCATGGTGGGTTTAGATACTTAAGAGGAGAAAGCTGAATTTTCTAGCTAAAAGGGTGTGGCAGTTGTGCATCAACATTTTAAGTAAATGCTGAGTTTAACCGCTGCCAGCATTGCAGGTGCATTGTGCTGGTGCTCAGGAGCTATCCATTTCCTACAAATCTTTTAGATCACAACTGCAGATTTTGGAGTTGTGTGACACTTTCTGGGGTGGGAAGAAAGGCAGAGCGATTCTTGCTAGATTGTTACAGATGTGATACAGGGTTCAAATGGGTCTGTTTTGGATCCACATAGGGCAAGCTCAGCTTCAGCTACGTTTTTGTCAACTGGTGTGCAGAGGAATCTGAATGTCTTGTTGGGGTAGGGTCTTCCCTCAGAAAGTTCTGACTATGCATAATTGTGTGTTGCAGCACTGTTGTCATCAACTGAACCTGTGAGTCATGTAGAGGACACCCAGTTTGTTCCTCAGAGCAGGCTGATCCCAAAGATCATTGTGTTGCAACAGTGCAAAACCAGACTATGGGAGTTCAGGATCTTTGCTGCAGAGGCAGCAGTAGTGTGGTGGAATTAAGCTTCAAATAACCTCCTCTGCTCGAAGGCTTGTGAAACCTTACCAGGCTTGTTTTCTCCTTTTGGGGAGGGTTGAATTGAATGTGAATTCAATGTGAGGGTGAATTGTTCATGTGAATTTCTCCTTTTGGGGGCATGGGTTAGTGGAGGGGAGGTTTTGTTCGTTGTGGGAGTTCTTGGGGATTTTGTTTTTGTGAAGAGTCAATTAAATAACAGTTAAAATGGAGCAATGGCTTACTGTCATTACTGGAAGAGAGGTTCACAATTTACTTTGCAGATCTGGAACTTTTGCTGTATTTCTGAGAGTTGTCTTTTATATTTATTAGATACTGTGTTTAATTTATAATAATTATGTATAAAGGTTTTATTCTTACATGAAGCTGAGTAAGTGCAAGTACTTCAAGATTATTAAAAATTTCATTCCTTATTTTGGTTTTCCCTAGCTGTGTGTGTCACAACACTTTCATTGTAGACAGAATGGATTCTTTCATTTCCCCTCCCTACTATGGTAAGCCCTCTAGTCTGCAGCAGTGGTAGAACAGGGTGTTATGATTCAGCAGTATTTAACCACAACTATCTAAATCATGCAGAAATAGAGATCCAGCCTTGACACTTTCCCCTTTCAAATAGTTAGGAAGAGGAAGGAAGCATATTCTTTGCTATTTATCAAATAATTATAAAATATTCTAAAACCAAAATCCTTCAGAAGTCTAGATGGAATTGTTTCCATTGGAAACTGTAAATAAATGGCTACAGGGTTTTGTGGAAGCTAGGGACATATATATAAGAGGTTTAAGTATTTTGCTAGCATTAGTCATATATGTAAGGTCAACCTAATTCTTTACAGGAGGAGCTTGCCGTGTTAGACTCCATGAATATGACATTCTACTCAAAAATCCATTTTCATATTGCAGTCCTGTCATGAAATTCATGCTACTGAATATGACTTTAAAAAAATTCAACTTTTCAGACCATGTGGCTTTTCAACAACACCCAATCAAGTTGTCCTATATTTTGGTGCTTTGACTGTGTGGTGTGTAATAATGGACATGTTTGAAGATAGCAATATACTCAAATACTGTGTTTAAATTGTATCCACTGAGTTAAGAATGCAATTCTTAATTGGAAATAATACTCAAAGTGTAATGGGGAAGTAAGCCTATAAAGTTGACTTTGATTTCCATTAAAGAGAAATCCATCTCTATCCTTGAGCTTTTATGAAATGCCATTAGATCAGTCATTTTATCTGGAAATAATTTCTACCAATTCAAACACTCTTTCTTTGTAAATTTGGTGTCTATGATCAGTATCCATTGTTATAGACAATTTTGTCCTATTCTCTTTTTTCTGGACTTGTAGAACTTCCTGTAAACAATTTTCTCCTAGTAACCGATGTGCTTACTTGAAAACTGATTTTGTTTTCTTCTTTGTTTTCCTTTTTATTATGTTGGCTAGAGCTTTTATTTTCAGTTAGTTGTTTAGTCACCATGTCCTTTTTCTCCTCTATGAAAAGCACAAGATAAACAAAGGAAAAATTTGCATCAGCATTCAAAGTACTATATTTAGGGGAAGTAAACAGGAGTACCTGTTTACATGGAGTGTCTCAGATATTTCTCCTTACTTTACATGAACAACTTTACAGTGTTTTGACTTTCCTTCCTGTTTTACATATAAGTAAGTTTTCTGTGGAAAATACAGTGTGAATTTAGATACTACAACAGATTCCATTAGTCTGTTTTTCTTGCAAAATGTTTATAGAACCATTCTAAACACTATCTTGCTCACCTGCATTTGAAACTTGTTTCCATCTATGATTTGTTGATGAAAACAGCTTCTTTAGCTGTCAGTGTTAACAAGTGTTCAAAGCATTCATATTAAAGCATAATTTTTTTTTTTGCATTCCTTTGTCAAAAGATGAAAAAATATTGTTTCCAGGTAAGAAAACGTAAGAGCATCAGAAAATGTGCCCTTAAGTATGTAAAACATTTCACTTACAGCTGTCTGGAGTGAGATTGAGAACTCTTTGATGCTTGGAGTTAACATGCAAGGGGTAAATTGTTTGGAATTTAAAAAGATATTACAATCCATGCATTGAGTAAGGATTGCTTAAGTGAATGATTGGGTAGTTGTCATAATATGCTATAAATTATGCATTTCTTCAGGTTTTAGTCACCTTTCTTATAACAGAAATGGGTCGTCTGTTTCAGACTCCAAATTTATTTATCTTCTGCTGCCGGAGAAGGCAACTTTCAGCCTTTTCCTTTACTGCCCAAAGAAATGAGTATGGCTTGTTTTCTGAAGAACAGTTGCTGGGGCACAAACCCTTTATGTTTGCCTGGGTAGAGCTCACTAGGGGAGAGACCTGAATTCAGCTCCCTTCAGGCTGAGACTCAAACCATATTCCCCTCATTTAAATAAAGGAACTGGATCTGTCTGAGGGGACTTGGGTACACTATAAAATTCTGCTGTCCTTTTCCTAGTCTAATATTCAAAGTTTTTCTTTGCATCTTTGATAAAGCAAAACCATGACCTTGGATTACAGGTGTGAGTGATTTCTTGGGAGATTCCAGTACCATCAGTGTAAAGATGAAAACAATGAGTGCTAATACTTGATGGCCAACAGTGGTTTTCCGGGTTACAGTCATAACTGTAAGGAGAAAACTTGGGGAGCAAAAGGTCCAGGCAATAAAATAATTCACAATAGAGCTTATACTTCTCTGTAAGAAATTTAGGTCCAAGCACTGTCTGTTAGTCCTGCAGTGGTTTGCTTCCTGAAGTGACCATGATTTCATTCAGAGGGCCAAAGTGCCTTGTGGATTTACTTAAGTTATCTCAGAGAGACAGTTATGGCTCAAAAACCTTGTCTGGAAGGAATCTGCATTATGTTTTTTTCTTTTATGATATTTCACAGAAGGTCATACTAAGCTCATGCATTAAAAAACAAACCCTAACTTTTTGTACAGATATAAATAAGTGTGAAGCAATAAGAAGTATGCTTTGAGTTTAAAAGAAGAAAACCAAGCCTTTTACTTACAAGGTGGTGTATTTACAGATGAAAATAAATCATAACAGGAAAACTTGCAGCAGTCTTAACATGCCTGCTACCTGTGTTGCATTTCCACTCTTCTTGACAGCTCATGGTAATTGGTGCTTTGGGTTGAGATAATTATTAATAAATACTACTGAGTGTTGTGAGGTGCTGCTTTACCTGCTGCTTTGAGACAAGCATCAAAACC